TTCATTATATCTGCTCTCCCCGGACCCCGCATTCACTATATCCGCTCTCCCCTGACCCCACATTCACTATATCCGCTCTCCCCGGACCCCGCATTCACTATATCCGCTCTCCCCGGACCCCGCATTCACTATATCCGCTCTCCCTGGACCCCACATTCACTATATCCCCGGACCCCGCATTCCCTATATCCGCTCTCCCCGGACCCCGCATTCACTATATCCGCTCTCCCACAGTACACAGAACATGGAAATGCAATTATTTTAGTAAATATAAACTGCTAAATACCTCTTCCCATCAGCAGTATAGAGCAGTCTTGTGACTTCTATCAGTGTCCAGCAGAGCACTAGTTAAAGCTTGTAGGAGGAGTTTTCATTCTCCCCTGATTGTCCTATGAGGCTGCATGAACCCTCGACCCTGTGTCCGGACAGTGCTGATTGGCCCTGTGCTGATCACATGCACTCTCCCACAAAAAAAAAAACAAAAAACCTCTCTGGCAACACACACCAAATTGAGCATGTGCAGCTTGCACCCCCAAGGCTCTGTTCTATCAGAAGATGGACTGGGGACAGTAGAAGAAGGGGAGGATCAGAGAAGACAGGATCAAACAGCCTTTTTACACAGTATGGAGGATTGACCCCTTAGGATCCACAGTGAGTATAACCAGCATGCGTTACGGAATCTACAGACCGATTTTTACTGTTGGGGGTTTAGCGGCACTTTAAGGTGGAGGGGTGCAGCTGGAAATCTAATCAATTCTGATTGGTGTGTACCTGCAATGGACAACTGCCTCTCTAATAATAAAGAAATAAATGGCAGTTGAAGGTATTAAACGCCAACTGAATAGCTGACATCATCTTGTGACACAGAAATCGTCTTCCATCCGGTCGCTGATAACCAGGCAGGGGATTCGTGGCCGGCAGCGATTGTTTTCTCATTCTTACACACATTAAATGAATGACCAGATGCAAAAGATTCCTTTCTCCTGCACTGTATGTGGAAATCTATTGGAGGCCGGCGACCTCCCTCACTTCTCAGCGGGGCGCCGAATCCTCTCTGACAGCGCCTCTTGTATGTGCGTGTGGCATCCCCGAAACCCCCCTCCCCCTCCTCCACGCATAAGGAGCCGCATCAATAGTCCTCCATCTGCTCACATACATCACGCTCTTCATTTCAGTTTATTAGCCGGAATAAATCATAAAATATTTCATTGTACATCAGCACGGCCAGCGGGGGGAGCCGAGTCATCCATCTCACGCCTGCTCCCGTCCTGCCACCCGCCAATAACCCTTCCACTCTATTAAACAAGATTGATACAGTAGTGGAATCTGTTCACACAGGAGGACTCAGGGGGGCGAGGAGGCTCAGGGGACCCCGGGGCCGGAGCTGCACAGGAATCCACCAGGCACGGAATTACAGACGCACGCAGCAAGCTTTTCCCGCTGGTTAGTTAAAGTAAGTGAACACGGCGGAGCGCAGGTGGAGGCAACTACAATAACGCAGCGCACAGGAGAAGAAATAAATAAATAAAGCTTTGTAAAAACACCTTCAGATCAATAATGGACGTTACTGTAAAACCTCCGTCAGAGAAGATTCCGCCGGATATCGCTGGGGCTTGTGAATGGAAAACAAACAAAACAAAAAAAAACAAAAAACAAGACAAAAAAAAAAGACAAAAATAATTTAAAAAAAAAATCAAAAAAAAAAACGACAAAAAAACAAAAAAAAACAAGACAAAAAAACAAAAACAAAAAAAACAAAAAAAAAAAAAAAGACAAAAAAAAAATAAAAATCGCCATCTATCAATCCTTTAAAACATTTCTATATCCTTTTCGTATCTTTGTCTTCTGAACGGCAGCAGATCCATCCATTGTAATCCTTTACTGTACATAAAGGGGATATAAAAAGTCTACACACCCCTGTCCCAGTTGTACGGTTTATGGGTCACATCAAAAGGTGGAAAAAGTTCTGAAATCATTTATCTTTGTCTCACTTTTTTTACATCACAGAAAACTGATGTTTTAAAAAGGGCACACTTCTGCACACGGCACACTTCTGGCACACTTGAACTGCAGCTCCTGAACTCTGCACACAGCGCACTTCTGACACTCTGCACACAGCGCACTTCTGAACTCTGCACACAGCGCACTCCTGAACTCTGCACACAGCGCACTCCTGAACTCTGCACACAGCGCACTCCTGAACTCTGCACACAGCGCACTCCTGAACCTGAACGCCTGCACACAGCGCACTCCTGAACTCTGCACACACAGCGCACTCCTGAACTCTGCACACAGCGCACTCCTGAACCCTGCACACAGCGCACTCCTGAACCCTGCACACAGCGCACTCCTGAACTCTGCACACAGTGCTGAACCTGCACCTGAACTCTGCACACAGCGCACTCCTGAACTCTGCACACAGTGCACTCCTGAACTCTGCACACAGCGCACTCCTGAAGCTGCACACAGCGCACTCCTGAACTCTGCACACAGCGCACTCCTGAACTCTGCACACAGCGCACTCCTGAACTCTGCACACAGCGCACTCCTGAACTCTGCACACAGCGCACTCCTGAACCCTGCACACAGCGCACTCCTGAACCCTGCACACAGCGCACTCCTGAACTCTGCACACAGCGCACTCCTGAACCCTGCACACAGCGCACTCCTGAACCCTGCACACAGCGCACTCCTGAACCCTGCACACAGCGCACTCCTGAACTCTGCACACAGCGCACTCCTGAACCCTGCACTCACACAGCACACTCCTGAACCCTGCACTCTGCACACAGCACACTCCTGAACCCTGCACACAGCGCACTCCTGAACCCTGCACTCTGTACACAGCGCACTCCTGAACCCTGCACTCTGTACACAGCGCACTCCTGAACCCTGCACTCTGTACACAGCGCACTCCTGAACCCTGCACTCTGTACACAGCGCACTCCTGAACCCTGCACTCTGTACACAGCGCACTCCTGAACCCTGCACTCTGTACACAGCGCACTCCTGAACCCTGCACTCTGTACACAGCGCACTCCTGAACCCTGCACTCTGTACACAGCGCACTCCTGAACCCTGCACTCTGCACACAGCGCACTCCTGAACCCTGCACTCTGTACACAGCGCACTCCTGAACCCTGCACTCTGTACACAGCGCACTCCTGAACCCTGCACTCTGTACACAGCGCACTCCTGAACCCTGCACTCTGTACACAGCGCACTCCTGAACCCTGCACTCTGTACACAGCGCACTCCTGAACCCTGCACTCTGTACACAGCGCACTCCTGAACCCTGCACTCTGCACACAGCGCACTCCTGAACCCTGCACTCTGCACACAGCGCACTCCTGAACCCTGCACTCTGCACACACAGCGCACTCCCTGCACACAGCTGCACTCCTGAACCCTCTCTGTACACAGCGAACCACTGCACCTGTACACAACCCTGCACTCTGTACACAGCGCACTCCTGAACCCTGCACTCTGTACACAGCGCACTCCTGAACCCTCCACTCTGTACACAGCGCACTCCTGAACCCTGCACTCTGGACAGGAGATCCCGAGAGAACGCCAGGAGGTGGTGGGAGGAACGTCCCCTCCCGCTGCTTCTACAAGCAATTGAAGGGCTAGTAGCTACTCTGGTTGCTAGTACCAGAGAGCCAACCACTGGCTCTAAAAAACCGGCATCACTTAGGTACAACCACTGAAGACTGAGTGATGTACGGGGACGTCGCTGGTCCGGAAGTGGATATACTGTATATCTATGTACTGTACCTTTCTATACAATTATCTTTTCCATCTATCCACCCATCTATTTATCTATCTATCTACACTATATTGCCCCAAGTATTGGGCCGCCGGTCTTTCCACGCACATGACCTTTAATGGCCCCCCCAGTCTTAGTCCGTAGGGTTCAATATTGAGTTGGCCCCGCCCTTCCCACGCACATGACCTGTAATGGCCCCCCAGTCTTAGTCCGTAGGGTTCAATATTGAGTTGGCCCCGCCCTTTGCAGCTATAACAGCTTCAACTCTTCTGGGAAGGCCGTCCACAAGGTTTAGGAGGGTGTCTATGGGAAGGTTGGACCATTCTTCCAGAAGCACATTTGTCAGGTCAGGCACTGATGTCGGGGGAGGAGGCCTGGCTCGCAGTCTACCCTCTAATTCATCCCAAAGGTGTTCTATGGGGTTGAGGTCAGGACTCTGTGCAGGACAGTCAAGTTCCTCCACCCAAACTCGCTGACAATGTCTTTATGGACCTTGCAAAGTTGGGAGCATGAAATTGTCCAAAATGTCTTGGCATGCTGATGCCTTAAGAGCTCCCTTCACTAGAACTAGGAGGCTAAGCCCAACCCCTGAAAAACAACTCCACACCATAATCCCCCCTCCACCAAACGTTACACTTGGCACAATGCAGTCAAAGTACCGTTCTCCTGGCAACCGCCAAACCTAGACACGTCCATCGGATTGCCAGACAGGGAAGCGTGATTGGTCACTCCAGAGAACACGTCTCCACTGCTCTAGAGTCCAGTGGCGGTGTGCTTTACACCACGGCATCTGACGCTTTGCATTGCACTTGGTGATGGAAGGCTTGGATGCAGCTGCTCAGCCATGGAAACCCATTCCATGAAGCTCTCTACGCACTGTTGTTTGGGCTCATCTGAAGGCCACACCAAGTTTGGAGGTCTTTAGCTATTGACTCTGCAGACAGTTGGCGACTTCTGCACACTGTGCGCTTCAGCATGCGCTGACCCCGCCCTGTCATGTGACGTGGCCTACCACTTGGTGGCTGAGTGGCTGTTGTTCCCAGTTGCTTCCACTTTGTTATAATCCCACTAACAGTTGAGCGTGGAATATTTAGTAGCCAGGAAATGTCACGGATGGACTTATTGCCCAGGTGGCCACCTATCACGGGGACCACGCTTGGAGTCACTGAGCTCCTGAGAGCGACCCATTCTTTCACCAATGTTTGTAGAAGCAGTCTGCATGCCTAGGGGCTTGATTGTATACACCTGTGTCCATGGAGGGGATTGGAACACCTGAATCACATGATATGGAGGGGATTGGAAGACCTGGACATGGAGGGGATTGGAAGACCTGAATCACATGATTGGGAGAGGATTGGAACACCTGAATCACATGATTGGGAGGGGATTGGAACACCTGAATCACATGATTTGGAGGGGATTGGAACACCTGAATTCAATGATTTGGAGGGGATTGGAACACCTGAATCACATGATTGGGAGGGGATTGGAACACCTGAATCACATGATTGGGAGGGGATTGGAACACCTGAATCACATGATATGGAGGGGATTGGAACACCTGAATCACATGATTGGAGGGGATTGGAACACCTGAATCACATGATTTGGAGGGGATTGGAACACCTGAATTCAATGATTTGGAGGGTGGGCCCAGTACTTTTGGCAATATAGTGTATACAAGAATCTGGATTTTTCTTTCACAATATTTTTTTGTTTTGCACAAGACAATTTATTGTAGAAAATATTTTTTTTTTCTTTATTTGAAGTAAAAAGAGCACATATGAACTGGATATATATATATATTTTAGAGATATTTATGGACTGATAAGATATTGAGTGTAAATTGAATAAAGATTGACGATTTAAGGCATTTATCACGTTTTTTGAGCACTTGTCACTCTTGGACACTGAATAAGCACGGGAGGTGTTACGGTTTGTTGAATATTTAAGAGGGTATTTATTATAACATAATCAAAGCAAGCGCCGTCATTATTTGTTACCACAGATCTGGGGAAGGCTGCAAAGAAACTTCTGTTGCACTGAAAATTCGCAAGATCACAGTGGCCTCCATAATTCTCAAACTGAAGAAGTACGGCACAACCAGGGCTCTTCCAATAGCTGGCTGCCCAGCCAAACCGAACAATCGGGAAGAAGGGCCTTAGTAAGAGAGGTGACCAAGAACCTGATGGTTACTCTGACTGAGCTTCAGAGATTCTGTGTGGAGAAGGGACAACGTTCCACAAGGACAACCATCATTGCAGCCATCCTCCGATCTGGGCTTTATGGCAGAGTGGTGAGACGGACGCTTCTCCTCTGTACAAAAAGCATGAAAGCGCCCAAAGGACTCTCAGACTGAGAGGAACAAGATTCTCTGGTTGGATGAAACCAAGATTGAACTGTCTGGCCTCTATTCTAAACATTATGTCTGGAGGAAACCAGGTACTGCTCATCATCTGCCCAATACCATCCCAACAGTGAAGCATGGTGGTGGCAGCATCATGCTGTGGGGGTGGGACTGGGAGACTGGTCAGTGTTGGGGGAAAGCGGAACAGATAAAGTACAGGGATATCCTCAATTGAAGTGCTCAAGACCTCAGACTGGGCCGAAGGTTCGCCTTCCCACATGACAACCATCCTAAGCACATAGCCAAGGCAACACAGGAGTGGCTTAGGGACAACTCAGTGAATGTTCTAGAGCAGTGGTTCTCAACCTTTCTAATGCCGCGACCCCTTAATACAGTTCCTCATGTTGTGGTGACCCCCAACCATAAAATTATTTTCGTTGCTACTTCATAACTGTAATTTTGCAGTGGGAGGAATAGTGCCATGTCATTGGTGTCAGTGGAGGAGTAGTGCCCCATCACTGATGTCAGTGGGATGAATAGTGCCCCATCGTTGGTATCAGTGGGAGGAATAGTGCCCCATCATTGGTGTCAGTGGGAGGAATAGTGCCCCATCACTGATGTCAGTGGGATGAATAGTGCCCCATCGTTGGTATCGGTGGGAGGAATAGTGCCCCATCATTGGTGTCAGTGGGAGGAATAGTGCCCCATCACTGATGTCAGTGGGATGAATAGTGCCCCATCATTGGTGTCAGTGGGAGGAATAGTGCCCCATCACTGATGTCAGTGGGATGAATAGTGCCCCATCATTGGTGTCAGTGGGAGGAATAGTGCCCCATCACTGATGTCAGTGGGATGAATAGTGCCCCATCATTGGTGTCAGTGGGAGGAATAGTGTCCCATCATTGGTGTCAGTGGGATGAATAGTGCCCCATCATTGGTATCAGTGGGAGGAATAGTGCCCCATCGTTGGTATCAGTGGGAGGAATAGTGCCCCATCACTGATGTCAGTGGGATGAATAGTGCCCCATCACTGGTGTCAGTGGGAGGAATAGTGCCCCATCACTGGTGTCAGTGGGAGGAATAGTGCCCCATCGTTGGTATCAGTGGGAGGAATAGTGCCCCATCGTTGGTATCAGTGGGAGGAATAGTGCCCCATCGTTGGTATCAGTGGGAGGAATAGTGCCCCATCATTGGTGTCAGTGGGAGGAATAGTGTCCCATCATTGGTGTCAGTGGGAGGAATAGTGCCCCATCACTGATGTCAGTGGGATGAATAGAGCCCCATCATTGGTGTCAGTGGGAGGAATAGTGTCCCATCATTGGTGTCAGTGGGATGAATAGTGCCCCATCGTTGGTATCAGTGGGAGGAATAGTGCCCCATCACTGATGTCAGTGGGATGAATAGTGCCCCATCACTGGTGTCAGTGGGAGGAATAGTGCCCCATCGTTGGTGTCAGTGGGAGGAATAGTGCCCCATCGTTGGTATCAGTGGGAGGAATAGTGCCCCATCGTTGGTATCAGTGGGAGGAATAGTGCCCCATCGTTGGTATCAGTGGGAGGAATAGTGCCCCATCATTGGTGTCAGTGGGAGGAATAGTGTCCCATCATTGGTGTCTGGGGGGAGGAATAGTGCCCCATCGTTGGTATTAGTGACACAAATGATGGGGCACTATTCCTCCCACTGACACCAATGATACTTACCTTGCTGACCCCTGCTCCAGCCTGGGCTCGCTCTCTCACTTACCTGTCAGCTGTCTTCCTTCTCTGGCCGCTCTCCTCTTCACTCGCTCCGGCAGCTCCCTGATCTTCTTTGATGTACACGCGCTGCCGCTCGGCTCCTCCTCTCCAAGCTCCACCTCCTCGCCGGTGATTGGCCGCCTGTGTGCCTCTCCTGAGCTACAGTTCCGGTGGCCAATCAGCGGCGAGGAGGCGGAGCTGCTGAGCGATCCCGGAGGTGTGGCCAGGTGACAGGAGCAGCGTATCATCCCACCCACACATCGCCTGAGACGGAGGAGCGGTGTCTCGGTTCCTAAGACCATCGGAAATATGTGTTTTCCGATGGTCTTAGGCGACCCCTGGGAAATGGTCGTTCGACCCCCAAAGGGAGTCGCGACCCCCAGGTTGAGAACCGCTGTTCTAGAGTGACCCAGCCAGAGCCCTGACTTGAACCCTATTGAACATCTATGGAGAACCTGAAAATGGCTGTCCACCAGCAGTCCCCATCCAACCTGACTGAGCAAAGAAAAATGGCAGTAAATCCCCCAATCCAGGTGTGCAAAGCTTCATCCCTAAAAAAAGTCGAGGATTGAAATGCTGCCAACAGAGCTTCAGCAAAGTACTCACTAAAGGGTCTGAATACTTCAGCATATGTGATATTTCAGTTTTTTCTTTTAAATAAATTCAGACATTTCTAAAATTCTGTTTTCACTTTGTCATTATGGGGTGCCGAGTGTAGATTCATGAGAAAAAAAAATGAATTTAAACAACTGTAGTATTAGGCTGCAACATTGAAAAAAGTGAATGGGGTCTGAATACTTTACAGCATTTCTTCATAACTGGCTAAAACTTTTGCACAGTAAAATATAAAGTAAGAATGTTCAAAAATATATACCATCACCGGCCTGTTTATTAGGTCCACATTGCTAGTGCCAAGAAGATCTCCCCCACACCATGACACCACCATCACCAGCCTGAACTGTTGATACAAGGCAGGATGGATCCACCACACCATGACACCACCACCACCAGCCTGAACCATTGATACAAGGCAGGATGGATCCCCCACACCATGACACCACCACCACCAGCCTGAACCATTGATACAAGGCAGGATGGATCCCCCTCACCATGACACCACCACCACCAGCCTGAACCATTGATACAAGGCAGGATGGATCCACCACACCATGACACCACCACCACCAGCCTGAACCATTGATACAAGGCAGGATGGAATCCACCACACCATGACACCACCACCAGCAGCCTGAACCATTGATACAAGGCAGGATGAATCCCCCACACCATGACACCACCCACCAGCCTGAACCATTGATACAAGGCAGGATGAATCCCCCACACCATGACACCACCACCACCACCAGCCTGAACCATTGATACAAGGCAGGATGGATCCCCCACACCATGACACCACCACCACCAGCCTGAACCATTGATACAAGGCAGGATGGATCCCCACACCATGACACCACCACCACCAGCCTGAACCATTGATACAAGGCAGGATGGATCCCCCACACCATGACACCACCACCACCAGCCTGAACCATTGATACAAGGCAGGATGGATCCCCACACCATGACACCACCACCAGCAGCCTGAACCATTGATACAAGGCAGGATGAATCCCCCACACCATGACACCACCACCACCAGCCTGAACTGTTGATACAAGGCAGGATGGATCCACCACACCATGACACCACCACCAGCCTGAACCGATGATACAAGGCAGGATGGAATCCCCCACACCATGACACCACCACCACCACCAACCTGAACCATTGATACAAGGCAGGATGGATCCCCCACACCATGACACCACCACCACCACCAGCCTGAACCGTTGATACAAGGCAGGATGGATCCCCCACACCATGACACCACCCCCACCACCTGAACTGTTGATACAAGGCAGAATGGATCCACCACACCATGACACCACCACCAGCATGAACCGTTGATACAAGGCAGGATGGATCCCCACACCATGACACCAAAACCAGTGACCACCACCAGCCTGAACCGTTGATACAAGGCAGGATGGATCCCCCACACCATGACACCACCACCACCACCAGCCTGAACCGTTGATACAAGGCAGGATAGATCCATGCTTTCAAGTTGTTTGGGCCAAATTCTGACCCACCATCTGAATATCGCAGCTGAAATCCAGACTCATCAGACCAGGCGACGTTTTTGGATCCAATCTTCTATTGTCCAATGTTGGTGAAGCCCATTCCACCGACCGCGAACGGTTGATGGCAACAGTGCAGTTGGCTAGTTCTAGGATGGAGGTCTATTGACGTCCCCCAGAAACCTGCCCCCCCTGCACACCCCAGGGACACACCTGTGATTACGTGAGCGCAGGAGTCCTCAGCTGATACTCTGGCACGCTATGATCCCCCACCCGTTAACAGCGCACCACCACCACCACCCTGAAACCGTTGATACAAGGCAGGATAGATCCATGCTTTCCAAGTTGTTTGGGCCAAATTCTGACCCGACCATCTGAATGTCGCAGCTGAAATCCAGACTCATCAGACCAGGCAACGTTTTTCCAATCTTCTATTGTCCAATGTTGACAGTGATCAATCCTACTTTCCTTCCATCAGCATGTTCCAAAGCAATACAGCTCGCCACCCGCAACATGGCTGATTGGACAGTGATCAATCTCTACTCTCCTTCCATCAGCATGTTCCCAAAGCAATGCCCCCAACCTGATTGCACACCCCATCAGGGCACACTCTGTGACCCCCAACATCTGAGGACAGTGATCAATCTCTACTCAGCTGAAGTCTCATGTTCCAAAGCAATACAGCTATGCCACCCACCCGTTAACAGTGCATGCATCTGACATCACCTTCCCATCAGCATGTTCCAAAGCAATACAGCCCACCCGCCCCCAACAATCTGATTGGACAGTGATTGCTCTTCCTCTCCATCAGCATGTTCCAAAGCAATACAGCTGGCCACCCGCCCCCAACATCTGATTGGACAGTGATCAATCTCTACTTCCTTCCCATCAGCATGTTCCAAAGCAATACAGCTGGCCACCCGCCCCCAACATCTGATTGGACAGTGATCAATCTCTACTCTCCTTCCCATCAGCATGTTCCAAAGCAATACAGCTGGCCACCCACCCCCAACATCTGATTGGACAGTGATTGCTCTCCACTCTCCTTCCCATCAGCATGTTCCAAAGCAATACAGCTGGCCACCCACCCCCAACATCTGATTTGATAGTGATCAATCTCTACTCTCCCTCCCATCAGCATGTTCCAAAGCAATACAGCTGGCCACCCGCCCCCAACATCTGATTGGACAGTGATCGCTCTCCACTCTCCTTCGCATCAGCATGTTCCAAAGCAATACAGCTGGCCACCCGCCCCCAACATCTGATTGGACAGTGATCGCTCTCCACTCTCCTTCGCATCAGCATGTTCCAAAGCAATACAGCTGGCCACCCGCCCCCAACATCTGATTTGATAGTGATCGCTCTCCACTCTCCCTCCCATCAGCATGTTCCAAAGCAATACAGCTGGCCACCCACCCCCAATATATGATTGGACAGTGAGCAATCTCTACTCTCCTTCCCATCAGCATGTTCCAAAGCAATACAGCTGGCCACCCACCCCCAACATCTGATTGGACAGTGATCAATCTCTACTCTCCCTCCCATCAGCATGTTCCAAAGCAATACAGCTGGCCACCCGCCCCCAACATCTGATTGGACAGTGATCGCTCTCCACTCTTCTTCCCATCAGCATGTTCCAAAGCAATACAGCTGGCCACCCACCCCCAACATCTAGCGATCTCTTACCTTTTCCATCATCCATCAGTATGGTTTTTTATAAAACACATGTGCAGTGCAGCACATTTGATTGGCTCCTAGTGCTGCCCCTCCCTCCCCCCCAGTGTACAAGGAATGTGAGGAACCAGATCTGAAGTCAAACTCAGGTACTCACACTAGTAGCAATTAAAAATAAATGCAATGATGGTAATGAATACGTAGCTGTGTCGTTACCTGTTTTGAACCAGCCATCAGGTGTGAACGCCTCCCTTGTCTCCTGCGCCTTATTCCAGTATTCTTTGAACACAGTTGGCCCACGGACTTGCAGTTCACCTTCTCTCTCCTGAAATCCCGGAGAGACCTAAAAAAAAGAAGAAGAAAAACGATCCTTAAATGAGCTTACATAAGAACGCCCCCCACACCTGGGTACCCTCCCGGTGCAAACACGCATACAAACACACACGCATACAAACACACACATACACACACACACACACACGCATACAAACACATACAAACGCACTCCCTGCGTACAGCTGGTGGTGACTTTGTGTGCTTTCTAAAGTTTTGGTAACGCTCCCACATCTTTAGGAAAACATCTGCTGCATGCAGCATCTGCCAGTTGGGAGTCTTGGCACAGACTGGCGCCAGTTGGCAGCAATGGAAGGGGGGGGGGGGGGGGGAATTCGGAAAGAAAAAGGCGTGAAAACAATAACTCAAAACGTACATCCTGCATCTCTGTGCAGGATGGTGCTCCCCCCCCCCCACATCCCCGACTGGTGTGTTTAACCCCTTCTGTGGCCGACCTATGGGAAGAGGGGAGGGTTCCTTTTTTTTTTGCCAAACCCAATCCTACGAGCTTTACATTTTAGAATAAGGTGCTGCTGAAGCCTTTATTTCCAATTAAAATGGAAGTAAAGGCTACAAATATGCGTATAATCGCCGCCTCCCCCTTTCTCCTACCTATGCTGGTAAAAAAGAAAAAAAGAAAAAAGTATTGGATATCAATGCGCTCTGATCTGGTCACACGATGCAGAAGCCATGAAACGCTCAACGACGGGGCTAAATTTCAGGAGCCGATGTCACCCACAAACTTCCACATCCTCCATCTGTTGTCGACACTCCCTGCTCTCCCCTGCAGCAGCTGCTCCAGGACGCAGGGGAGCTGGAGTTTCTGCATCACATGACCAGACCGGAGTGGACTGAAATAAGGTATTTACACAGATCTCTTTTATCGGCAGTAAACAGCATAGGTAAGTGGGGGGGGGGGGGGGGGCGGTAATTTTAAAGAGGAACTTCAGATTATTTTTCTTTTTAGAAATAGAAGAGAAATAGGAATAGACAAATAAAAAAAAACAAAACAATAATACTCATCTAAATGGCTGTAGCAATGATTCCGACCTGCAGCCCCCACTGCCTCCACACCGACACCGGTGTCCCCCACTGCCTCCACACCGACACCGGTGTCCCCCACTGCCTCCACACCGACACCGGTGTCCCCCACTGCCTCCACACCGACACCGGTGTCCCCCACTGCCTCTACACCGACAGCTGTGCCCCCCACTGCCTTCACACCGACACACGGTGTCCCCCACTGCCTCCACACCGACACCGGTGTCCCCCCACTGCCTCTACACCGACAGCTGTGCCCCCCACTACCTCTACACCGACCGACAGCTGTGCCCCCCACTGCCTCCACACCGACACCGGTGTCCCCCACTGCCTCCACACCGACAACGGTGTCCCCCACTGCCTCCACACCGACACCGGTGTCCCCCACTGCCTCTACACTGACAACGGTGTCCCCACTGCCTCACACCGACACTGGTGTCCCCCACCGCACCTGGTTGTCCCATCGCCTCTACACTGCCTACTACACCGACAGCGGTGTCCCCCACTGCCTCCACACGACACCGGTGTCCCCCACTGCCTCCACACCGACACCGGTGTCCCCCACTGCCTCTACACCGACCGGTGTCCCCCAGCACAGCGGTGCCCCCCACCGCCTCTACACCAACACCGTGTCCCCCCCCACCACCTCTACACCGACAGCTACACAGCGGTGCCCCCACCGCATCTACACCGACACCGGTGTCCCCCACCGCATCTACACTGACACCGGTGTCCCCCCACCGCCTCTACACCGACACCGCTGTGTCCCCCCACTGCCTCCACACCGACACCGGTGCCCCCCACGCCTCTACACCGACAGCACAGCTGTGTCCCCCACCGCTTCTACACCGACATCGGTGTCCCCACCACCTCTACACCGACAGCAGTGTCCCCCACCGCCTCTACACCGACAGCGGTGTCCCCCACCGCCTCTACACCGACAGCGGTGTCCCCCACCGCCTCTACACCGACAGCGGTGTCCCCCACCACCTCTACACCGACAGCAGTGTCCCCCACCACCTTTACACCAACAGCGGTGTCCCCCACCGCCTCTACACCGACAGCGGTGTCCCCCACCGCCTCTACACCGACAGCGGTGTCCCCCACCACCTCTACACCGACAGCAGTGTCCCCCGACACCACCGCATCTACACCCGACACCGGTATACCGACAGCGGTGTCCCCCACCGCCTCTACACCGACAGCGGTGTCCCCCACCGCCCCTACACCGCAGCCTGTCCCCCACCGACAGCGATAGCGGTATCCCCCACCGCCCCTACACCGACAGCGGTGTCCCCCCCCACCGCCCCCTACACCGACAGCGGTGTGTCCCCCACCGCCTCTACACCGACACCGGTGTCCCCCACTGCCTCTACACTGACAGCGGTGTCCCCCACTGCCTCTACACTGTCCCCCACTGCCTCTACACTGGGAATTGAGCAATTAAAGACCGCCTATAGCTCAGTTCTTGATATTGAGTCTGTAGAGAGTGGCTACTGTCAGTCATTGGTTCTCTCTCTGTTGTGCCCCTCCTGTGCTCACTGGAGCACAGGGCTGTGAAGGGCGCGGAGTGGCCAGCTCAATCTCCCAGAGGCTTGTTGAGAGGTGGAACTAGCTGCCGGTCCAGGCATCCGGGTGGATCCCGACTGTAAAGTTGGCCTGTTTTCGGTGTCTGGACTGGCTGAAAATGGATCACAGGAGTGCAGAATGAAGTGCCCTCCGGTGATCCATAGGAGAAGGGCGGCCAAAAAAAGCTTTGGCCATACTTTTTCCTTTTAGAGTCAGCAGCTACAAATACTGTAGTTGCTGACTTTTAAAAAAAATACTGGTGCCTGCAGTCCAGCACTGTCTCCCTGCAGCCGGTTCTTTTCGCTGTGGGTCCCCAGTGCCACCATCTGGGATACAGGACCCAGCTTTGGCTTCCAGAGGAACCACAGCCAGCATCCCAATGCATATGTGTGAGCTTTGTAGATGGTCCTGCAGCCTCCTGGGACAGATCACATGTCCCAGGAGGCTGCGGGAGGGGGCAGGGTGAGGGTGTCATCTTCACCCAGGTAAGGACAGCGGTAGTGAGAGCAGATGCTGAAAAAAAAAAATCATTACTCGCTCCCCCCATCCTGTAAAAAAAAAAGTGTAACTTAGTTAAAGGCTGGGGGAGGGGTGCACCAGCAGCACTTTTTGAGTCAATTCCCGCTATATTTATATGTAGCCTTTACTTTCACTTTAACTTTTTCATCTTCTTTTCCTGCAATGAGAAAGAAACTAATATGTAATTCAGTGCCTGACAGCCTGAAAAAAATCTGAGTCTGTGTCTTTCACTACACCAAGCTGATCCGACAGAACAGCTGACATCGTGCAGAACACCGGACGCCCCTGTTGCATTATGGGAACAGAGTTTTTGGGGTTTTTTTCTGGGTCAGATCTACTCAATCAGGACATGCAGAAAAGAACAAATGGCTACACACAGCTGCTTGTGTTATACGAGGGGTTCAATCAATCCGGGACTTTTCCATTTTCCAGGTATAGCATGGCGGTACTACACGCAGCAGTAAGTGGGAAGTGTGTCCTATTACAAGCTGTTGTGAGAAGAGCTGAACTTGAAGTGCCACACCTCTGCTAAACAGGCCCCCGATACAACTTTACTCCATTAAAAGTCAGGGGTATCATTTGAGAAGTATCCAACGTGTTTCGAGGGTCCAAGTTCCCCTTCATCAGGGCTTGACTGGCAATAAAGTGAACGGGTCAGAAGCGAACTAGACCTCCAATGGTATTTATTCCAGTGTGAATTAAAAGCAAAGGCCTAATCAGCAGCTTATGAAGACAAAATGGCAGTTGACTAGTGCAAAACCTGCCGAGGAGTGGTTCATGATTAATCCTATGCGGAGTAATTTATCACTATATTGGTGAACGCAATATTCTGTTTATTTGAATCTCATGGATCATGAAAAGGTAGACGTGGACATGGTGATCATAGTACAATCATAAAAATAAAATCAAGGAGTTAAAAAAAAAAAAAACGTTCGGCGTCTTCCATTGCGCTGCATTAACAATATAGTTAGTGATAAATCCGAGACAATGATAATCCTTCTGTGTTCATTAAATGAAAATTCCATACAAAGAATCCAGGTCAGATCCTTATGATGATGAGGGTATATGTGGTATATGTGCAAAAGTGAGACGGAGATATCACAAGGTCATTAGATTACATCATAGTATGATGGCAACTTTCCTTTTTTATATACTAATCAGCAGCTTGTTTACAGCCTATACTGATAGGGGGCGCACATGTCCTGGGCTAGTCCAGAGACCTTTAATCAAGATGGCGGACAAGACTGTTCGTGCGTGCATGGAACAGCGCATGGCGATGAAGTTTCTTGTGAACGAAGGTGCAAAATCTGCGGATATCTACAGAAGACTTCAAGAGCAGTACGGTGAGGAGACGCCAAGACATTTGAATGCTGTAAATGTTTCAAAGATGGCCGTCCGTCCGTGATGATCCCGGCCCACCGCAGCCAACAATAGAATCTCCATCTGCCTCAGCAGTGATGGGTGTTTCCCTAAATCCAATAGTCATTATATCTTTTTTTAACCACTTCCCGACCGGCCGTTGTATATAAACGGCCGGATGGTGGCAGTACAGGGTCGGGTGGCCGTTTATGAACGGCCTCCCCGCACCCTGCTTGTGCGCGCTCCCTGGGAGCGCGCAGCACCGCGATCCGGTGCCCGCTGTGTCCTCTGGACACAGTGAAACACCGATCGTCGGACGGGACCTCTGTATGAGGTCCCGATCATGTGATCACTGATTGGCCAATCAGTGATCACATGCAAAGTAGTAAGCAAGATGTCACTTGTGACATCATTGCTTACTATGTGTGAAATCTGTGAATGATCACAGAGGTCACATGGTACAAGGCTATTCACAACAGCCTTGTACCATGTGACAAGCTGTGACCAATCACAGCTCACTCA